ACGCCTGTGTATATTGTATGTATAACAATTACAGTGCCACTCAGAGCTTTAAATTGCAAAGATTTGAGGTGCACTAGGGTGACGGGCGCAGTGACCCTGAGACATAAGTTGACAAGTCCCACGTGCCTGTGATGTCACCAGCACACTTACCCTTCAAAACCGGAACATATTAATGCTAACATTACTGCTTGGCGGCAGAAATAGGTAAGGTGGCAGTACTAACCTGGACAAACTATTTTGTTGTTGATCAGTGAAATCATATTTACATTGGTAACGCCGACACGTGCTATGCAAAAAAATATATTATAATTCTTTAATAGCGCCCTCAACAAAAACCAGTCCACTCCTATTGAAATCAATACCACGGGTGCGTCATCGAGTATGGACATCAGGTGCGCCAATTATATTTGCCTACTGGCACGGAACGTGTCAATATGACATCACGAGGCGTGTGCTGCGCGCGCGCCGTTTCCCATGACGTTGCATTGTACACTCCATGTGAAAGGCGTTTTATTTTCTCACGTATGCATATATGTAGGGCTTATTAGATTTTACATTTTTTGTGATTTCTCACGCAATTTCTAATAATGCCCGTGGGTAATAAAACGTAGTATTTATGTGTGATTTCCGGCTTTATATTCTCGGTCTATAATTGAGAGTATAGCTGATAATTTTGTGATTGTCTAATGTTATAATTTATTTTGATTAATATTACATTGTGTCACAAAGGCGGTACGTACGAACAGAGGGACACTCTTAGGCTCAACTTACACTGGCACTGGAGTCAAAGCTTCGTGTCGCGTCCTGTTTTTCAACTACAACACACATCACAGTGTGGTCGGCGTCTGACGCCTCACTGCACGCAAGTGTGACGCGCGTCGACGTGTGTCGACGCCCGTTTCCCTATTTGCATAACACAAATTTGTACCTTAATAATGGGAAAATAGAGATGCATGTACTATAGGCGAAAAACATGACGCGTCGCGACGCTTCTACTCTGCGTCAGTATGAGTTCAGCCTTATATAAATGTTACAAATATACAAAAAAAAAAAATTATGTGAAACTACACAGACGCAGATGTGAGAGCAGACTTAGTTGTGAGTAGATTGTCAATATTATATACGTACCTACTCAAACGAGGCAGTCCCAACCATAGATATAGAAAAAAAGAAAAAAGGTGTTCTAATAGAAAAGGGCAATCCACGGGTCAATTGACAATCTTGTGTAAGAACATGAAGGCTAGTAATAATCTTCTATTCCGTAAACTCATTAAATTAAAATGACGAAGGTGTTCCTCATAAGCTTTTTAGCTTTGTGAGTCTGATAGGAAAGTTGAAAATCTCACCTGAATCCGCTTATTACGTTTTACGTTTACGTTTTTAAAAATCAAATCACAAAGTCCACTGCAATTTGGGTCGTGGTGCGATTTTCGAGGCCTCCAGCGATGAGAGCGGGCGGCGGGTGAGAAGACATAAAACAAAAAGCCCATTACTGCCTCTAGAGTTCTATACTACCTACTACTTAGCAAGCAAGTGTGATGTAATAGTAACACATTGTGTATTGAGGATGTTATATGACAAATCACTGATGAGGGTCTATTAGCCGAAGCCGAAGGCTGAGGGCTTCAATAACTCGAGTTTTGTATTTTTTTACCATCCGTGATACATACAATGTTTTTCATCACATTTGCGCGTAAATAAACACAATGTTTATTTCTTGTATCAATAAATATGGTGCACAAGAAATTGCGTTTTACAAATGACAGGTTTTTTTTAATCAATAGATGGCTAGCCTATCTATTCTTCCATAGATAATACAATTCGAAGTAAAAAGCAAAAAAAAAATTGCGTAATTTTATACAGAAAATAATTAATATCAATTATAAGAAATTCTTAATAGTAAGTATTTAAGTAGTATGTGGCTGAATTGGAATCAAATTTCTGCTTAGATAACATTTTAAGCGAATGTTTTTGAACCTGATCTATCTAAGAAAGTATGTCGTGCTACAAATTAAAAAAGAAAACTCCTGGACGTAATAGAAAAGAAAAATGGCCCGAAAATTTTATTTGGGGCATTAGAGTCAAGTTAGCCACCACGCAATTATACTATTTACGAGAAAGTGTGATGGAAAATACATTTCGTTTAGTATTTCTTGATTCACGCGGTGGATTTTCCGCCTCTAGGTGTAGTTGTTTCTTACTGATAAATTTACATATTTATAACTTAACAACTTAACTTGATGACCTCGCTGGCCTGACGATAACTAAGAGCACTTGATTTGGAGGCCCTCGGCGTGGTTCCTGATCAGAGCAATTTAGGAAAGGAATTTTCTTAAGTTGGTCTTTTGGGAAATACTCTGCCGTGTCAAACCAATACACTGTAAAGTCACTTACGGTATTTTGATTTAACAACGCTCATAATATGATTTCTCTAGGCCTAATCTCTACCCTGACATTTCAACTTTGGAGGTGTTAGTGTTTTTGAATGAGATATTAAAAACTAAAATACACTGTAAGCATTGACTTACAATTATATGGACGTCGGGTCCGCGCTAAAAAGTGTCCGAACTTATAGGGCGTTAAAATCGTATACAGAGCGTCATTCATGCTCTAGTCTTCGTTTGTTCGACTGACAGCGAAGCAAGCAAAATTAGACAGTACTGCGATGACATTACAATTTAAATTCAACGTTTTAGCTTTTTCATATTCCTTTACATGTCACTACGTTTAAATAGGTTGACTTGGGACATTTTTTTCGTGGTTTTTGTATTAGACCCGTCGTCCATTTATTTGTAAGTCAATGTAAGTTTTAAAATGTTGATATTATTTTGACATAACAATATGGTTTGACAATTACGCGCGCGAAATGCAGTACAATGTTGCGGGGCGCCTGAGTTAGCGAAAACTGTCAGATCGCGAAGAAACCTCAGGAGCCCCGCCTACTGACATTTGTCGCGGCAAAAATTTTAACAATAAAAAACGACATTCTATCGTATCAAACCAAAACACTTCAAGGCTTAATACAGTACTTTGTAATTTCATAACAACAAGAATCTTTCGGCTGTCAATGAGGGACAAGAATTTTATTCATTTTTTAATAATAATAACTTACTTTCCAAAGTTAAATTATAATGACTTGACAGATTTCTTTAATATCCAAAGATAATAACATAAAATGTATCTCTTTATGTTATTAACCTCAAAAATTACAAAAAACCGAATAATTACATATATACGCAGCTTTTTCTTAAAATGCTGTTTTTGATATTACAGTGTTTTGGTTTGACACGGTACTACCATGTACTCTTGAATACAATTTCGTTACGGCTGTATAAGGCTAAAGACATGAGTTTTTCGGTGGAGGAAACCACGTGAAGAAACCTGCACACATCTGAACAGCAATTTAATGATATGTGTGAAGTATGGGCCCGCGTGGGAAATACATCCCAAGCCCTCTTATTGTGGCTGTAGGACTATGTAGCCTACCTATTTTCTTTATTTATAATTTCATATAAGGCTACCAAATAATTGGTGTAATTATCTGGCACATTATAATTATATTATAATTTTGGGTATATATTCCTCGGGACGACGACACGTATATTATGTATATCAAGTGTATATTAAGTAGCATAAATTATTTAAGTTTCTAATTTTACTTATTTTTTATAAATTCTTCTTCTTCTTTTTTGCTTGTGATGTTGTTTCGCTCATTAATAATAATAATAATAAAGAACTTTATTTATCTACATTTACAAAACAATTTAGTCGTAAATAACATCACTTATAGATACTGTGTAGATAAAAAGGATAGAGTCTCAGCTTAAGCTGTTTTTCAGACCCTATCTTTTTGAAACTCGCTACATTATATATATATATATATGTGAGTATGTATATATATATATACTCACTTAAAGTTATAATAAATCTATTGTCCTTATAGTACCTGAGATAGATAAAATATTCCATCTAAAAAATACTCAAATTTGGGGTTTAGGTAGAGATGGACAGCACCCACACGTAAAAATATAATTACAAACTACATCCAATTACTTTCTGATCTTTGCCTCGAAAGTAACCAAAGCTTGCACTTTCTTTTAAAAGTATAAGATGATTTTGAGTTTCGTACTGGAGGAAGCAAATCATTCCAGCACTTAGATGTATCTCATTATCTTATTTTAGTTTTTGTTAATGGAACTCTGGGTCTGTATGTGTATAAATTTTGGTTTATTACTTGACTGTTGATTAAATAAATTAAAAAAAAAATCCGGCGGTGTTCAAGGCTCTGTTGGTGAAGTAAATTTTTAATACTGTTGAATTTAGACTCTGAAGTTTTCACTAGTTTCGTGAAATTCCCCAGACTGAAAATATCAGTCTCGAGTCTTAATAATGCCTAAAAATCGTTGAGATTCTTGAAATTTTCGAGTCCGAGCTTCTCGGATGAAAGCCCTACTATAAAGAGTACTTGGAGTAAATTCTATTAGGCAGTACTTGTGTAGAAAAGTTAACTATCGCTTTCACGAGTTTCCAGTATACTTTCAATAAATGATTGAAATATTCTTAAATGCGCATTGAAAATTACAATGCTATGTATATATACTTTTTTTTATAATAGTAAGTGACGGGACAAACAAGTCGTGTGCCTGGTGGTAAGCGACACGCCTGTCCATAACAGTTGCAGTGCCACTCAGAGCTTTAAATCATAAAGATCTGAGGGGCACTGCTTCTGCGCCGGACACCCTGAGACATAAGTTGATAAGTTCCATGTGCATGTAATTTCACCAGCCCTTTGCCCTTCGGGAACACGGTAATGTTTACATTACTTCTTGGCGGCAGAAATAGGTAAGGTCGCAGAACTTCCCCGGACGAACTCTTTCACAAGGAGCTTTACTGCTACTAACTTTATGATCGTTCTTCGATGTAATGGCCCATCATTGTTTCTTTCTCTCTAATTTTTGTATATTATTCATATGTTTCAGCGAGGAACGATGTCTGCCGAGGGAAGCTGCTCGGACGCAGCCGGCGCGGGCGGCGGATGCGTTAACAAAGCGTTCGATTCGGCCGACGATGGGTTCCACACCATCGACCTGAGGACCAACAGGCATCATGAGGACAACCAAAACACACCGCGGGTGCGTACCAGTAATCAAGTTTTAATGATTTATTTTTTTTGTTTATTTAAACTTTATTGGACAGAAAGTAATATGAATGCCATTAGGCATTCTTTACCAGTCAGCCGGTGACCTGAGTTCAGATTAAATAATAGGGGTGCATAAAATGACAAATAAAAACAGATAAATAACGCACAAATAAATCAAAATTTGTAAATAACCATGATATAAAATATACATACGATGTATAACATATAAATACATGACTATATCTATACATAAATTGTCTATGTATGCAATGCATACACATATAATATATGTAAATATATATATATATAAATGTCACTCTAATGTGAAGCATATTGAGGGTCGTATACCAGAACTCTACTCAATGCTCAAGTCAGGACTTGAGTATGATTTAAAGCACTAGAAATCATACTCAAGTCCTGACTTGAGCATTGATTAGAGTTCTGGAATACGACCATGAGACTACAACATGAAGTTGCGGAACAATTGCTTGAAAGCTGGCTTAGTCATCGTCTAGACCGCTAGTAAGACACGCTAGCATTTTTATAATACAAAGCCTATCCATGACAGGTGTACGCAGAGCTTCAAATCGCAATGATCTTAGGGATACTCCCGCTGCGCCCGTAACTCTAAAACATAAGTTGACAAGTCCCATGTGCCTGTAATTTCGCCAGCACCCTTACCCTTTCAAACCGGAACGCAGTAATGCTCATATTACTGCTTGACGGCAGAAATAGGTAAAATGGCAGTGCTTCCCTGGACGAACTCTTTCACAAGGAGCTTTACTGCTAGCTGCTCGCGGGATGAACGCCTTGGCCACATGCTACCGGGACTAACGAACATGTATATCCCTACAGCTAACCACAAACCCCAGCTAGTCTATACCCAAGTCTGGGTCCACCAGAGACGCACGTGAAGGCGTATCACTGGCGGATAGTTAGGCCTGGTCTTGCCGGCGAACTTGTAGTCTCCCAGGAACTTTTTATCTCTGGAGTTGGTAGATAGAGCCATGCCAAGGGGGGCAGAGTTCGTGTCTGGATGAACCTTTTCTCAAGGAGCTCTACTGTTAAAGTCACATATTCGAGAGCGCTGGAGACTTTTGTCGGCTAAGAGTTTTTGATCACGCTTTCGTATGCCGCGTACAAGTACACTTCGATGAACGTAAAACGTGATGCGTTCACTTTATGCGTCATGCCTACAGACGCGAAACATTATAAAGAACAATACGCAAAAGAAGTATGGAATGAATTGCGACGTCAGTAATGTTGTAATATTTAACTACACACATTGTTTATATATTTTTTAATTGCTTATAGTTTCATTTTTTGTACATTAGGAGGATGAGTGGTGATTAATGTATTATTATATTAAACAAGTAGGTTTATAATTTACTCACGGAGTGTGCATAGGTGAGCAAATTAGTCTTGAAGTCATTGTATACTCATTCATAATGTAGGTTCTTTAAACAAGAATGAGTAATTATACAAGATGATATACAAGGCTTTATGCCAATCCATTATTACCTATTGTATCACTGTTTGGGGTGGCGCTGGAAAGCAAAACATGATGTTGATTGAGAGGGCACAACGATCCGTTCTGAAAGTAGTGATGAAAAAACCCATCAAATATACAACTACTGCTCTATACGAGGAGTGGGGGTCCTATCGGTTCGCGGTCTCTTTCTACTCGGAGTTATGGTTCTGGTGCATCGTGAAGTGACTTCTTCTCCTAATTACTGTAAGTTACTCGAAAATAGGCATTTTAAACTTCATCTACCAGCTATAAACTCCACCTTCGCTAGAAGATTTCCAAAATTCATGCATCCGTATATATACAATAGAGTTAACACCTTGTACAGCGTCAAGCTCTGCTCAAATTCGGAACTTAAGCATAGGGTCAATAAGTTGCTACGCACGTTGACATACAATGAAATAGAGGACTTGCTAAAGGAGGTGCGCTAGTTCACTGCCTCAATCCTTAATCCATACACGTGCACGCACGCACACACCCACCGACTCACATGCACGCACACACGCACACACACACGCACGCACGCACGCTCGCATTTAAGCACACACACATACACACACACAATGCCATAAAGACACACACTCATCCTATATAAATGTATAAGGTAATTGGTATTGAATTAAAAATAGAATGAATATTATACATTATACAATATATATATATATATATAATCTAATATAATAATTTAAAAATATGATAAGATAAAATAAAATAATGTATTATATAATAATAATAATATTAATATTATGTACAATTTTTCGAAAAAAAAAATAAAAAATAAAATAATAATAATATTTTCTTTTTGAACAAAATTCTTTTGCGCTATTCTATTAACAGTAACAATGTTTTTATCGATTACCTGCGAGACAGGCTTTGCCTAGTGCAGGAATCGTAGGAAATTCTCCGTACGCGATATACGCTACAATTGAGTTGTGTTACCTGGTTCTTTGTCGTAACTAAATTGTAATGTACCTGCACAAGTTCATTTGTAAAATAAATTATTTTGTATTTTGTATTTTTTGTAGATTTCATTCCGTCTTCCCCTTTTCGTTATCGGGGGACTAGATGTAGTCTCGGGTTCCACCCCTATATTGTGGATATTCCAAAAATTCGCACTGATTCGTGGACATTTAAATGGCGAATGGCTCTGGAATGGAATTCCCTGACAGCAGACTTATTCCTTGAAAGTTATATTATATTTCCAGGCGAGAGTGAATATATTATATTATTTAGGTGTGCATGTTCCATTGTCGACCTCATCCTCACTTTCCATTAAGTAAAATGGAGGTCAAATGCGCACTTATTAAAAAAAAAAGAAGTAAAGAACTCTAGGGTTGTTCCTTGTACATCAACATACTATCAAGCCATACGGGTCTATGCCTTAACCTTTAGTATAATGTTTTTATTTCTCTATAGTTTTATGCCTCGTAAATAGCGAATTTATTTGTATACATCATTGACTTACAATTATATGGACGTCGGGTCCGCGCTAAAAAGTGTCCGCACTTGTAAGGCGCTAAAATCGTATACAGAGCGCCAAACTCCGCTTTAGTCTTCATTTGTTCGACTGACAGCGCGATATTGCGATGACATTACAATTTAAATTTCGAATAGGTTGACTTGGGACATTTTTTTCGTGGTTTTTGTATTAGACCCGTCGTCCATTTATTTGTAAGTCAATGGTATACATTTATATCACATAACAGTGAAAGTGTTGAATCAATCACTTTCGAAAACAATATATAGTAAAATTGAGGATATGCACTGATTACAATACAGTGTGAAAACAGGATTCCTAAAAATTTACACGATAGAAAAAAACACAAACTTACTACTATTCATTAAATTTTTATTGAATAGATATTCAATTATTTTTTGTGAAATTACTCCACTAGTTTGTTATAATTATTAATACAAAGATCGAACACTCAGAAACACACTCAGAAAAAATTCCTTCGATCCGGTCGGATTCGAACCGACGTCTTCTTGCATACCGTGCCAGACGCTATACCATGGAGTAACTTCACAAAAAATAATTGAATATCAATTCAATAAAAATTTAATTAATGCAGTGAATAGCGACATCTCTCGCCAGGACTGGTAGCTGTAAAGGTACTAACTGGGTGATAAATCTGTAATAGATTTCTCATAGATGGTGCTACGACTAAAAAGTCGTTGAAAGACCAAGTACAAAGACACGACGCAAGCACATAGAAGAATTCGTGAGGTCCGTAGGATCGTTCCGTGGCTTAGTTGGTATAGCGTCTGGCACGGTATGCAAGAAGACGTCGGTTGGAATCCGACCGGATTGAAGGAATTTTTTCTGAGTGTTTTTCTGAGTGTTCGATCTTTGTATTAATAATTATTACTACTATTCAATTGGTACTTTACATATACCAATTATTTATATCAACTGAACTATAGAACACGTATAGTATACGATATACATTTCTCAAATGGCTTTAAATAAAAACATAAATTCTGAAAAAACCAGTCTCGTTGCTGCTTGATTTTAAAAATCGAGTTGGAGTAGTATCGACACTTATCTTTGTGACTGTGCGAAAACGACTGTCAACAAGACTCAGTTTTATAGTGTAAAATTTTGTAGCAGTAGACTTCCTCGTGAATGAGTTCGTCCCCCGTACTACCACCTTACGTATTTCTGCCGCCAGGCAGTAATGTAAGTATTACTGTGTTGCGGTTTCGAAGGGTAAGTTGCTGATGAAACTACAGGCACATGAGACTTGTCAACGTATGTCCGTGTTACCACCAGGCGCACGTCAGATAGCCCATTGTATTTTTATATATTAACACATGTATAACTATGTGTATTATTAAGAAAACGGAGCCTCCTAAAACGCAGCTGGTTCCGTTTTCCATTATAAATATAAATTATGAACATTATTCCGCATAAATAAGAAACCAATTTGCATAAATTGAATTAAAATCGCTTGTTTCCCCAATAAATGTAGCCGGAATTAATTTCAAAAGGGAACAGCAATAGCCGTATTTAAGAGGATAGGCTTATCAGTTCGTTTACCCAACAGCCGTTTTAGGGTTTTCGTACTATGATGATCGTTCATAGGGTGCGTTTTGGTCTGGTACATTTGGTGACGCACGCCACTCGCGCGCCACAAATATTTACATGTATTTAACTGCACGCATGCAGCACGCGTGCAGCGCGCGTGCAGCGCATTCGCGGCGTATTCGCTAGATCTGTACGTACCCATATAACACGGTCGTTGCGGTCTTTTTTAGTAGCATTAGAGCTTGGATATGGGACTTGTCAACTGATGTCTCAGGGTGTCGGACGCAGCGGCAGTGCCCCTCAGAACTTTGGGATTTAAAGTTCAGTGTTAAAGTGCAATTTAAAGTGAGTGACACTGCAACTGTTGTGGACAGGCGTTTCATTTACCACCAGGCGCACGACTTGTACATCCTACGTGTTTTTTTGTTTCTTTGAA